ATCCTGGAGATAAGCTTCTTCCTCGATGATGGCCGAAATTGGCTTGGCGTCGTTCTTGGAACCACCAGTATTGGACACCATGCTCTGATGTGTAGAGAAGGTAGCATTCTGCCCAACAGCATTGAACCATCCTCGCAACTTGTGAGCCTCGTCAATATCCGGATCGACCATCATTGAACCGGAACTCAACAGACTCAAACTTCGGCCGCCAAAGTCGGAGACCTTTACTCCCTTGAAAGCAACAATCGACTCCAGCGGTACATCGAAGCTCTCGGCAGTCTTGCCCCAGATGGTGAGTCGTACTGATGTTTGACTGTCATCGGCTAGTGTCAGTTCTCGCTTGCTGAAGTCTTTGTTGGTATTCTTTGAAGTTATTGTAGTAACCTCAGCAACTTCTTTCAATACACCAATCGTGTCGATGGTTGTGTCCTTTTCAACAGAGGTTAGATCGCCAATCTTGGTGAAGTTGAATCGAATCTGCGGCTTATTGTCCTGATCCTCCGCCTTTTCAACCTCAGTGTCACGCTCAAATTGCAGCTCATAGTCGTTGGGCAAGTTTGAGAAGTTTTTCTTCGCAAGCGTTACTCTGCAGGGCGCAGAGATGTAGTACACAACACCCTCTTCAAAGACTGGGAACAGTTTGTCAGCGACTTCTGTGAAAGCTGTCGCTCGAATTTCGCCAGTGTCATCCAGCAGATTGACACTGAAAAGTTTGCCAGTTCCCTTCTGGTTGTGCCATTCCTTCATGTCGCTCTTGTGGGTGCATCGTGCTCGAATGGTCCACTTGTGGGCGTATGGCGAAAGAGATTCAATAGGATAAAGATGAGGATGTGAAGAAGTTCCAGGGTTACTCTGATGAGTAGGCAGTGAGCGCTGGGGCTGCGGGGCAGGCGCAGGCTTTGATCCGTAGAAATTATTGCCGGGGATAGCGGCAGGCTGTGCATCGGCAGGCTTGGTATCTAGAGCCTCAGGCTGCCCGATCTTGTCAAGTTCGCCGTACTGCGAAAGAACTTCTAGTTCCATTATGATCAGGATGCTGTCCATGTGTTAGGCAACCGCCAGATAGACATCATAAGGGCACATACTTCTTGTCCTTGACACGTTGGGGATTGTACTTGAGAAGTCGTACGATTGATCCCTTCTTGAGCTGACCAGAAGTGACGATCTCGTTGGCAGCTGTGCACGATTAGCCATATTCGCGACTATAGATTTCTGATTGACTGACTGGTAGCGATCATGGTCTGAATGAAGTTCCGAATGTCACTCAACACAACCCGAAAGCGCTGCACGGGATTTGCCTCGCCCGCCTTGGGCTCCATGGTCTTGATCTGCACGCATTGCAGGACTGGGTGTTCTACGAAGCAACCGCTTGGCTGAAAGATGCTCCTGGGTGGAGTTAGCATGACTTCCATTGCGCTGGAAATGGAGACTCACTGAATAGCGCCTTGGGTGATTGCTCCCTCTGCCATATTGACTAAGCTGTATGGGTGTTGTGATGGCGTTGTGCTAATTGCGTGTCGGTGGCGGTATAGCGAAGATCAGAAAGCGCGTCGACGCGTCGGGTCATGTGATTTAATAGCCCCGCTCTAGCCAGATGTGAAGTGTGGCAGGGCGGGGCTACGTAAGTGGCCGGCTAGCACCTGGACCATTTGTGAATACTTGCAGCTCACCAACACCAGATTTCCTCCAACTGTTGCATTCATACATACAAACACTATGGCGGACAACGAAATTGCTACACGTGCGCCCGAGAGCGATGCGCAGCAAGATACTCAACAGCAGAAGCCTCAGGCAGAAGCCAAGGCCCCGGAGCCAGCGCCAGAGAGCGTCTTTCCTGGAGACACTAGAGCACAAGATGGACCAAGCATGGGTGTAAGTTGATTCGCTATGTCATGTAACAGTAGAGTACATATGTCTATTATCGCTACAGATCTAGTGCATTCCCTAGTCTCTAGTATCTGCTCTATATTCGAACCGTCTTTACAACTGTCCATTCTGGGTTATGAGTACTGATTGACTAGGAACACTGCACAACAGACCGCCCTACCCCCGCCGGCGAAAACCCCACAGGTGATCTGACGAAGCTCGGTGGTGTCGAATGCTATGTTGCTAAGCCTGCCGACTACCCGCATTCACCCTCGAAACTCCTGCTTATGCTCACGGGCGGTACCGGCGTCAAGTCTACCAACAACCAGCTACAAGCCGACAAGTTTGCTGCGGAAGGGTACTTGGTTGTAATGCCTGATCAATTCGATAATGATCCAGCACCAAACAGCGTCAGCATGGACGAAGTCCCACAGGATGCTTCTTGGCTTGAGGCTGTCAAATTGAGAACGGCGGAGGGCATAAAGTCATTTATGATTGATATGTGGCTCGCGCGCCACACTCCCGAGAAGGTTCTCCCATTGCTGCACAAGGTTATTGAGGGCGCCAAAGAGGAATATGCTGATGCTGTCGCGAATGGTGGAGGCATCTACGGTGTCGGCTACTGCTTTGGCGCAAAGTACATCCTCATGCTGGCCTCTGAACTCCCTGATACCATTGCCTGGGGTCAAGAAACTCCAAAGGATGAAGAGCAAGGAACAACGAAGAAAGAACCCGTGCTACGGGCTGGCGCTGTCGCACACCCAACTATGACATACAAAGAGGATCTCGAAGCCGTCAAGTCTCCAGTCTACATTGCCGCAGTGAAAGATGATCCCATGTTTTCAGAAGATGATGAACTAACACCTGGTCGGAGAGCTATGGAGAAGAACAAGGTTGAGCACGAGATCCAAGTCTTCTCTGGAGTACCTCATGGCTTCGCCGTCTTTGGGGATTATGAGGATGCGAAGATCAAACAGTCGCAAGCGCAAGCTTTTGGTCAGATGCTGGCCTGGATACAATCGCATTAGGGCCTCCTTTTTGAGTCTACAAAGAGCCTACATGGTATAATGAATTTCCTGTCACTGCGGTCAACAGTTCGCATACTTTGGAGGAATCCCTGGTTATGATTTGGCGTTAAGGTGGGTGGAAGTGGTATAAGCCATGTCAAAATCTTACCAATTTTCGTCGTTCCAAGTGGTTTATTAAGCCTTTTCATTGATTCTGTTGGGTTTATCCGCAACTAAACTTATTTTGAGGCTCTACGCACGTACGACTGTGAGTCGTCTGAAAACATAGATAATATAAACCCGAACTGAATACCTAGGAATGAAGACGAGCGTTCAAACTGCTTCGTGTATGGATTTCGAGCAAACAGAGACACAATCAAATGGCTGTGCTGTGAAAGTTACCAAATCTCTTTAGGCTCCAGTATCATTAATAACATGGTGTATAGAGAGGTTTTAGTAAAGCACAGTATAGTTGGAAATGTGCAGCTAAAATAAATTTGCGGTAGCTAGATCATATCTGGATCTGTCACCTACCAAGTTCATATCAGATTGACACACTAAAATTTTGGAGCGGGACACAGATGTCCACCAGTTTTCATTCTGGACCCTGCATGACTCGCGCCAATAAATTTCCTAGCCCCTCCACTTGCGACCCCTCCACGCATTCTTCAAGATTGACATTCACAAAACGCCAATACACAATATGGACGACCCAGCATTCGATACCGAGACCGATCTACAAACACAAAGCATATTACTTGCTGCCGCGAACCACGATACTGCATCACTGCGTAACCTCCTCCGCAATTCTTCTGCCAATGTACAAGATTCCGAGACAGGCTTCACACCTCTACACGCCGCAATTGCCGCCTGCGAACCCGACGAGGATGATGCGAAGCAAACCAGTGGTAACTCAAATGGAGACGCAGGCAATGCGTCTGTGGAGTCTGGAGAAATGGATAGCGCCGTGAAGACAATCAAATTCCTTTTCGAAAACGGCGCAATATGGAATGACTTGGATTCGAATGGCGAAACCCCAGGATGCATAGCGCATAGACTCGGCTTGAAAGAGCTATATGATCTATGCGTAGACGCTGGCGTTCGTGCAGAAATGCTGCTGAATCGTCTGGAGCAGTACCAACCTCTTGGAGACGACGATTCGGACGAAGAGGATGAGGAGGAAAATTTACAAGAAGAACCTCAAGTACAAGAAGTGGCAGAAGGGGCCGAAATAATAGAGACGGTTCAGGAAGATACACAAGGCGACGAATCGACCGAGAATCCAAACTATCTTGCTTCGAAACTCACATTTAATCGCGACCGACTGCTAGACGATTCAGGGAACGGCGTGATGATGGAATGGGAAACAACCTTGATGCGCAAATCTGCCGAACTCCTAGCACCCAAAGAAGGTCTCCGGGTTCTCAATGTAGGTCATGGCATGGGCATCATCGATGGAATCTTCCAAGAAAAGAAACCAATAAGCCATCACATCATCGAGGCACATCCAGACGTGGTCAAACGTATGAAAGAACAAGGGTGGCATGAGAAGTCAGGAGTCGTGATTCACGAGGGTCGATGGCAAGATATTGTTCCTGGTCTCGTAGAAAAAGGCGACCTGTTCGATGCCATCTACTTCGACACGTTCGCTGAGGAGTACAAGGCCCTGCGTGAGTTTTTCACTGAATACGTTATCGGGTTGCTCGATCCTGCAGGAGGCGCAGATGGCGAAGGCGGGAAGTTTGGCTTCTTCAATGGTATGGGGGCCGATCGACAGATTGTGTATGATGTGTACACCAAGATTGTAGAGTTTGATCTCTTTGAGGCTGGATTTGACACTGAGTGGGAGACTGTTCCTGTCCCGGACCTCGACGAGAAGGGTGAGTGGGAGGGCGTCAGAAGGAAGTATTGGGTGTTGAAGGATTATAAGCTCCCGACCTGCAGCTTCATTGGGTGATGGACAGGTCACGCGCTCAAGAACATGGGAGAAAGACATAATGAAACAAAAATATTTGACATTGATTCATCAATGACCATCATAACCAAATAGGGCTTCTCAATTTCGAGGTAGAGATTTTGCCATCCTGCACTCCCAAACACCATGCTGTAAATATTAAGAAGAAGCAATTAGTTCCCATTCATTCCATTCATCAGTCCGTGTAGTTGTAGCAACTTGTTGTACTGGCCCTGTTGTGGCTCCGCCAACTGTTTTGCTGCCTCTGCTCCTGTGACAGGCAATGTCTTCAACCCGTCGCTCTTCTGCTTCTTGGGAACAGCCTTGGGATCCAGTAGTCCAATTTGCACCAGAACGGAGGCTTGATCCCAGTACATGTGTTCCGAAACGAGCTTGTCGCCTCGTACAGCGACTATGCTAACCATGGCTATTTCGACATGCTTGTTTGTCGGTGGAACGCCAGGCAGTATCCAGTCAATTTCATCCGAGTGCGTAAAGGACACAACCATCTCGTCCACGATACGATTAACGCCCATAGTCCGTGAAATCAGGCGTATATCGAAATCCGGGACCAAACTCGGTACGAAGAATTCCCCGTAAAATTCAGCCAGCTTCTTTCTTCCCACGCCGCCTTCCATCGTAGGAAGAATGGTCACATGCGGGCTATCCTGCGTCATGTTCTTAGCCACAGCCATGCTCGCTCGATCCGGGTCATCGTCTTCAAAACGCGCGTTCCAATGCGCAATCGCAATGGGTTCCAAATCAACATTCTTTCCGAAGCCTTTGCGGATACTGGCCAGCGCCCTGGTCCAAGCTAGATTGGCTTCTACTTCCGAGTACGCCGGTGACGATGGATCCAGGAATCCTGAAGCACATCTCTCATAACGATAGAGCTTCCACTCGCACATCTCTGGCCTGGCACTAGCTTGGCTCAAGCACGCGACGTGGACCTGCAATTGATGCGATCGCGGATACATGGTTTTTGGGCTGGGTAGAAGCGTCGGGTAGAAAGCGACAATCGCACAGCATTTCGCCAGCGGTTTCTGTGCTGTTTTGAGGACAAGGCTGGCGGCCTCGCCATACGCAATTATCGCGTAATGCTCGCCGAGCTGGCATGCTTCTGTGAGCTTTCGGATGGTATTGACGTATTCGGTTTGGGATTGCTTGCGCGGTTCGTAGGGAAGGAATTGCGCGTCGTAGCCTTCTTCTTGCCAAGCTAGGAGCGCTTTTTCTGGAGCGGGATACGTGCTTGTGAGGTAGATGCGTGGAGGAGAGGAGTTGAATGTCAGAAACCCGCCCCTTCCGGGAGCGGTGTCGAATGATGTGATTGACATGATGAAGAGGATGTGATGGTGTTGGTAATGTTGGCGAGACGCGTGTAGATACCTACTGGTTCACCTAGGACCCAGTCCTGGATACAACCTTTCAGAGTAATAACGGCAAATCGGGAATAATAGTAGAAGAGAATTCTCAACGGCGCTTAAATTCATTTCGGCTACCTTCTCCAACCTTGATCATACCCCAGCCGCGCAACCAAGGAAAACCACATGGGTTAGCCCGTGGTGTTTGGTGCGTGATGACGTCATGTTCAAGGTTCCCAGCTGGCCCAGTTGCGTGTCCGCACCACAGCCCTTGTAACTCTTACTCAAGTCACATCCGTCCATCCGTATAGTAAAATCTGTTGGTACAAATAGTTTAGTCCAAGATTAGTATATTCGTCCCACTTTGTTCTGCGGGAACGTTTGGGAACTTGCGCACGCCATGAGAAGAGCAGCCAGTGGCAAGGCCCGCTAAGGATCGGTGACATATACCTAATACCATGCTTTTAACTTTGGCATGATTGGAAATTTGCTGGCAGTGAAGTTTTATATTGTATTTGGTGGATACTGTTTATAGTCTAAATTGCCAACCTAAGTGTGTACGTGCAAAGAACGTAAGAAAAAGGAAATGAGACACAGGTGTATGTATGCAAAAGCAGCGCAATCCGTTATCGTCTCTTCAGCACGATATTCCGGCCGTCCATTGTTGCAGGTGGTGATATCTAAGCCCTCGAGGAAGGTGGGGTCTCAGGGTCGGAATCATCTTCGCGCTCGTAATCGGGAGGATCTGTGGGCAATTAGTATATGTACGACACGGCAGTCTTTACGTGCCAACAAACTTACTTTCGGTGAAGAATGTCTGCCAGTTGTCGCCACTAGGATCCGTAGCGCAGATGCGACTAACATATGCATCCAAGGCCATCCATGCATAGTTGTCGGCGTTGAGGGATGCACCGACCGGATCGTCATCCTGCTCAGGGTCGATAAGACCGTGGGTTCGTTCAGGTTCATAGGCAGATACTCCATCATCGTTGACTCCATCCTGAATTGTTTCCCCCAAAGAAGTTTGTGGACCCACGGAACTATAGTGTGTCCATTCGTGGAGGATGATACGGGAGATACTGTCCATTTTTACGCTGGGATAGGGGTCAAGAGCATCGCAATCAACGTCTGCAATGCTTTCCAAACGGCCCGTCCAGGTTATGTCGCAGAAATGGATCTTCTCCCGTTGATCAACTGGTTCGTCGACCAGAGTGTATGCGTAAGTACTTCCGTCGCAGTTAGATGCGTTTGGAATGTCTGCACCAAAGTCTAAGACGTGCATTAGGACGTTTTCATTGTGAGGAATCCAAGTCAAGCTTACCTTTGTTGTCGACGACAAAACTTCCCACGACAGCCCCAAGTCTGACATTGTTCTGACCATCGCCAGCGAGCAGGTTCAAGACATTCTTGACGTGGTCCTGGAAGTGGTACTCATCAGGTCTCCCCTCGGGCTCGTCCTGCTCCTCGTTGACCCCAAAATGACGCAAATACGGCTTAAGAGCTCTTTCTGCTGCACCCGCTCCATAGCTGGTGATGGCCAACATTTCACCACCGCAGAGGATGACGTGAAGCAGCTCTAGGTGGGCCTTGTCGGTTTCATTTTCGGGATCAAAGTTTAGGTACCTCCACTCGTTTGTGCAAGCATCACCCAGTGGATAGGACGATGGTTCCGGTGGGGCTTGTCGAGAAACTATTCTAGTCGGTGGGTTGCAGATTGGTTTTTCGTGAACCGCTACCGCAAGAGTAAGAGCAAAAGAAAGGGTTTTTAGAGAAAGTCATGTTGGAAGCTAGGTCTGCTAGTAATGACAGATGTAGAACAAAGATTGAAAGCATGGTGAATAGATGTTTGTTGCTCTTGAGAAGGATTTGATGATGTTATAGGTATTGGTATCAATTTGCGCCTTCCTCGTACCCGGCCGTAAACACCCAGCTCTCGACCAAAGAACCACAGGATCAACCCCATCCACGCCTTGCTCTCTTTATTC